TCACGCCAAAGTGACCACATGTACTGCAGTCTTACAGTACATATGGTTCCGTACAGTATTTATAGGAACAATAGGAGGCAGTTTTCACCTTTCAGGCCCTTCTTCTGTGGAACCAGCTGCCAGTTTGGGAGCTGACAGACACCCTGACTACTTTTAAGAATAGGATGAAAACGATCCATTTTGATAAAGCATAGAGTTAGTCCTAGATCAGGTGACCCAGAATCCTCCCATCAGTCCCTGTTAGTCTGGAGCTCCATTCAAGATCTTGCCTCATTGGGTGAGGATGATTAGGAGAAAGGTGGTGGATGAGCTCAAAACTACTCAGGAGGAGAATGCTAATGATCTGAAGGCAGCTGGAACTAGAGTCACCACGTATGCCATTGATAACACACACCAGTGTTGGTCAAGTTACTTGAAAAAAGTAATCAGTAACTAATTACTGATTACTTCCCCCAAAAAGTAATCCTGTTACTTTACTGATTACTTATTTTATTAAGTAATTAATTACTTAACACTTAGTTACTTTTTAAAAACACAATTTACAACCTGAATAGGTAATAAAGTAATCAGATTACAGAAACGCGTTACAAATAACGCGTTACTGCCCATCTCTGGCCGCCACACTACTTGTCCTGCTTTTTCAACATTTTGTTTTATATCCCTGCTCTAATCAAGGTAAACTTTTTATATATATTTAATGCTTACCGTACATCAGGATGTTGTTCATCTTTAAACACAACAGGTTTATCCATAGACTTCTCACTTTTCATGGAAACACAGCTAGAGTGGTCTGCTCTCTGTTTCTGCATCCTAATAAATACTATAAAAAAAAAACAAAAAAAAAGAAAGAAAAAATATTCCATCAGATTAAATATAACTCATTTGGAAAATAATTGTTGGCTTTATGTCTCTGCAGTCTGAACTCTCTGAGACAGGAAAAGCAGAATTGTTGAACATGCTCTAAAAATCTGACTGGGCCTGTCAGTATGATCAGTTTCCTCTAAATCACCTTCATGACTGAGTGCAGCACTTTCTTCAGCAGCACCCACAGATTTTTCAATTTTTGTCATCACCTCTCTCAGTACCTCTTCAAAATCCTTCCCACTTAGCTTGGCTATTCCTCGCAGTTCACTCAGGTAAGTATCTGTGACACTCCCCCCAACTCTCTGGGAATAAACATTTGTCAAAGCATGTACAGAAAGTACTACATTAGGATTGGCAGCTGAGGGGTGGACATAAGGCAACATGTCCATCCCTAAGGGTCATAACATAAGGGTCCTAATGCTTGTACTGCTACTCCCGAGTTATACTCCACTATCTGATTCTTGTTGAATTCAGATACTTGATCATCAATGGTGAGGACCCTACTAATAGAGCCATACTGCTTTAAGAAGTCAAAAATCTCTTCATCCTTTTCTGATCCTGTTACCCCACGCACTATGACAGCATTTGGGACCTTAATACCTAATTTTTCAACAAACTCCATCTTTTAGTGAGACAAAGGGCTTTACCAAAAACTCCCTTACAGAAAATACGCTTCACTATTGTTACCGATTAATTCAAGGCTCCTGGCTGGCTGGCCACTTTTACACTGTAACCAGCATGTAACAAAATATATAAACAATGGGCAAATCAGAAGACTTCAGGAACGGCAGGAGCCTAGAGGATGGGTAACCACAATGAAAACACAACCACAAATGATGAAGCAATGGTTTAATTGTATTTGAATTTGTGCACTGTATTGAATTTAACAATAATAACCAAAACTGTGCGCGCGCACACACAATTCTGGTTATTATTGTTTAAAAAAAGAAAAGAAAAGAAAATAATGTCAGACCTGGGTCTTTTAAAGTGTCAATAGAATCCAGTTCAGGCCTGTTTGGTGATCTGGCAGTTTATTGGTGTGAGTTCAGTCCACGATCAATGTATGGTTTACATAGTTCGTCCTGTTACAATCCAGGCAACCAGACTTCAAGATTCAGTTCCATATGGGCTGTGGCTCGCCATCCATTGCAATGGAAGAGCATTCCTCTTCTACAGATTTCCACAAAGTCCGTAATCTAAAGTTCTCCGTGGAGTCTCAGCTCCCAAAAAAACCTGACCTAAGAGTGAGGTCAGAATTACTTCAAATGAACATTGTTTACACTTAACTAATAACACTTCTGTTCAAGGTATAAAGCATGAACAAAATCTGTTTCAATTTCAAGTTCTATTTCTAATAGGCAATGCAGCTATCAACAATCATGAAATCAAGATTAATAAAGTCCGTAGATCTAGTCCACGCTGCTCCTTTAAAGCAGCAGAATCAATATAGTCTCTTCATTGTTAATTAACAGCAGTGGTAAATAAAAATAACACATGAAAACATTTCAATACAACAGATATACATACTGGTTTTCCTTAACCTAACAACAGCTAATAAGTTCTCAACTAACACTTAATAAGCAGGATTGAGAGTTTAGCTAGTACCTGCTAGCTACTAAACATGTTTGTGGTTGTTACAGTAAAAAGTATAACTTTTTCTACTCAGAGTTTATGTTTTTTGTCTAATTTTAAATCAATTGTGTTAATACAGTATGTTGAAATGAAAAACATAACTGTAAATTCCGACACGTGAGGTTGTCCTGAAAAGAATGATACCAAACAAGGCAAAGTAAATAGTTTTTAAAGGTGAAATGTAGTAAAATCAAAAGTAGTTAAAAATGGCCAATTATACCCTGGACCCCAGAGGGTTAAACGTTTTTTAAAGTAACGCAATAGTTACTTTTCAAGTAATTAATTACTTTTAGAATCTTGTAACTCAGTTACTAACTCAGTTACTTTTTTGAAAACGTAACTAGTAACTATAATTAATTGCTTTTTCAAAGTAACTTGTCCAACACTGGTCATGAACTGTGTTTTGAGCATGCAGGATTGGACCCAAACACAGACTTGTCAGGCAGGCGAAAAGTAAACTGAAAACAGCTTTATTGCTGGAAACAAGAACAAAACTAAACTAACACACAGAACTAACTAAACTGAGGAACAGAAAATAAACTAGAGAGGCAGACTATAAATGAGCCTGAACATAAACCATAATACAAAATGACATGAAAATACAGGAACACAAAACACAGGGTCAAATGACCCAGGACCATGACAACCAGATAAAGGATTTTGTTGCTGTTATATGCTTCATGTTCTTTGTAGATTTTTGATGACCATTTTGTTATTTGATCATGTCACTGATTGGAATAGGTGGCTGAATGTAGTGTAAAGCACTTTGGGGTCCATAGGGACTAAGTAAAGCGCTATGTAATCAACCGATTCGCACTGCAACCTGATTTGCCTCTTATCTGTAGTTATTTTTATTTAATTTAATAACTGTACAGTACTCTGTTTATAGTGACCACTGTCCTTGATGTGAATATGTAAGAAAAATTGTTTATGTTTCTGTTCTGTGTCCTGTGTACTGTTTGGTTGTATATGTGTCTTTCTGGCTGCTTGT